GCTATTAGGATGACGTTTACCACGACTACGAGTAATGCTAACATTATTACTAATACTACGACTATTACTTCTACGACGACGACTACTACCATTATAATAACACTACTACAACTACTACTACTACTACTACTACTACTACTACTACTACTACGACTACTACTACTACGACTACTACTACTACTACTACTACTACTACTACTACTACTACTACTACTACTACTACTACTACTACTACTACTACTACTACTACTACTACGACTACTACTACTACTACTACTACTACTACTACTACTACTACTACTACTGCTACTGCTACTCTACTACTACTACTACTACTACTACTACTACTACTTACTACTACTACTACTACTACTACTACTACGACTACTACTACTACTACGACGACGACGACGACGACGACGACGACGACGACGACGACGACGACGACTACTACTACTATTACTATTACTACTACTACGACTACTGCTACCACTGCTACCAATACTACTATTACTACCACTACTACTGCGACGACGATTACTGCTGCTACTGCCAGTACTGTTTCTTCTAGTAGTATCACTACTACTACTACTACTACTACTACTGCTACTGCTACGACTAGTACTAGTTGTACTACTAGTACTAGTACTCGTGCTAGTACGCCTACTACTTCTACTACTACTACTACTACTACTACTACTACTACTACTACTACTACGACTACTACTACTACTACTACTACTACTGCTGCTGCTGCTACTACTACTACTACTACTACTACTACTACTACTACTACCTCATCCTTATACTCCTCATCATCACCACCATCATTATCAGCAGCAGCAGCATCACCATCACCAGCGTCATCGTCATCACCATCACCATCATCATCGTCCTCGTCGTAACCATCTGCATCATCAGCATCACCATAATTATCAGCATCATCATCAGCATCACTGTAATCGTCATCTGCTCTCTTCCTACTTCTCCTGTGACTCCCCATTCCGCGTTTTCCTCCTCGTCTTCTGTCTCCTCTTCTTACTCATCATCATCATCCCCCCCCTCCTCCTCCTCCTCCTCCTCCTCCTCCTCCTCCTTTCCCTCTTACTCTTCCTCCTCCCCCTCCTCCCTCTGGGCTTCGTCCTGCCAGTCCTGACTCCTGACTCTTCCCTTTCTTCCTCCAACTCCTCGTCCTGATCCTCCTCGTCCTCCTCATCCTCCTCCACTTCCTCATCCTCTCCTCCTCCTCCCCCTCCTTCTCCTGCGGGGCCAGGTCCTCCTTTTTCTCCTCCCCTTCCTCCTCCTCCTCCTCCTCCTCCTCCTCCTCCTTCTCCTACAGGGCCAGGCCGAGGGAGAGCTGCAGATTGATGGAGACCGGGGTCATGAGTCTATCCCAGGCCTTGGTCCGATTAAGTTTAATTATTCGTGGGATCCTAGCGAGATCGTTGTTCGAAGACCATGTATGCGAGAGAGTTCGTGAGGTGATGGTTTGCCACTCGCCCTGACTATAATATGTGATATGCGTTGGCGACGCTTCTCATTGGATTAATGGTGGTGCTGTTATTGTGCCTCCTGAGTTCCGACATCTCAGATGCAGGCGATGGAGCAAGCAAGGCCGTTTCCTCGGGGCCCTGGGGCCTTGCCGTCACGAGTGCGGGGTTTGCGAGATCGAGGAGGACGTGGAGCTCATCTTCGTAACAGGCAAGTGCAATGGCGAGCTGAAGCAGTGAGAGTCGTGTCTTGCTTCCGTTCCACAAATGGCCATGTCCAGCTGGCGCAATTGCAGGGTAGTGGTGAGGTATGTCCGTAATGTTTGATGATGGGAGAGCGCGAGGGGAATGATGACTCTGTTGTTCGCCATGTGGAGCCTTCTTTGCTTGATGCTGGCGATGGTGCTTTTCGGATGCAAGCAGATGCGGTTCCTGAAATTTTTGGGCCGCCTGCTACGGGCGGTGGTCGTGCTTACGATCGTCATGGAGGGTCTGTGTTTGAAGTTCACTGGCCTGCTGACGATGAGATTTCGGCTGATAGCTAGACGCCCTCTGGTTGCAGGAGCTGTGCGGGCGCCCTTCGTGGCCATTTAGCATCTTCGTGGGACGCTACATCGCGATTACAAGCGCCGGAAATCACGGCTGCAAACTTCCAGCTGGAGTTGTTCCTTTTCTAGGAACGGGCCACCTTGTCAGCGCAGCGTGTTCGTTAATCAAGTGATTAAAATGGAACCCGATCGACTGATATGGCGGCTGCTCGGCGGGAGCATGAAGAACGTGCACAAGGATGGCATTTTGTTATGCTGTTCCTTGCCGGTGGTGAGCAGCGCCCATGGCATCGTTGGTATCTGGTGCTCTTCCGTGGCATCAGCGGCTCGCTCATTGCGAGCACTTGCTACTCTCCGCGTTCGCCTTGGTGTTCGTCGGCATGGTGTCCGCCTTTTCTCTTTTCCGCTTCGCCTTCGGAAGCGCCGTTCGCCTGGGTTGTCTTTCCTCCCTCCCTCCCCCTGCCTCCCCCCCTCCTTTCGGCATCCACTGCCCCAGCGCTCTCGGAGAAGCCCGAGTCCAGGCGGAGGAGGAGGGGAAGGTGGACAAGGATGAGGGCGAGGCGCAGCACTGCGGAGAAGGACGACGAGGGGGGCGGGGAGAAGAGGGCATGAGCAGAAGAAGTAAGAGGAGTCGGGGACAGGGGCGGGAAAAGGAGCGGGAGGATAGGGGCGGAGGAGGAGGAGAAGCACGTGGACAAGGAGGAGGACTCGCATGGGACGAGGGGAAGGATGAGGAGGAGGAGGAGGACGGCGAGGGGAAGGAGGAGAAAGAGGAGGAGGAAGCGGAGGAGGACGAGGGGTGTGGAGTGGAGGAGAAGCAGGACATTGGAATGAGGAGGAGGAGGAGAAAGAGGAGGACCAGTGTACACCCAAGAGTCATCAATGATATTGGAATCTACCCTCCCTCCAAGATCCCTCTTCATAGTCCCCTACCAGGGCTCATTTCCACTGGGGGAGCTGCCTCGTTGGAAAGCAACCGGTTGAAGACCCTGACTCATGCCAAAACATTGTTCTCTGGATTCCAACGCCACGGATCAACCTGACTGTTGCGTATTGACGATCCTGAATCGTGAGAGAACGCCATGCCTGGGACTTCAATACCGCCAGCAAACGTAATTGTTGCACCCTGAAAATCTGGAATCCTTACAAGACACCATGTCTGGTACGTTGATCATGGGACTCCGCGAAACTCTTGCAACAGAAAAGGAATGCACGCGTCGCTAAGGCGAGAGCCACATTTTGAAAAGGAGACGCCCTCAATCCGTGAAGTCCTTGCGAATGTTTAAAACTAATGCGCGCGGCGTTAAGGCGAGAGCCACATTTTGAAAAGGTGTCGCCCTCAATCCGTACAGCCCTTGCATATTATATGTATAAATTAATTTGCATCATATATATATATATGCACATTAATTTTCATCATCATATACACGAAAGTGCGCGGCGCTGAGGCGAGAGCCACATGTTGAAAATGACCCGCCCTCAGTTCGTGAAACCCTTGCAAATGTTGAAAAGGAATGTGCGCGGAGATAAAGCGAGAGCCGAATTTTGAAAACGGCCCGCCATCCATGTGCGAAACTGTGGTCAACGATTACGCTTCAGGGTCATAAATGGTGAGGAAGTCTACGGCGAAACGCATGGACCACCCTAAAAACTGGCCTCGGGGTGCGACAGGGAGAAGTTGATTATATAAGGAAAAGGAATGGAGGAGGGAACGGCGGCGGCCGCCGTCCTGCTTGGATGCGTCTCGGGCCCTGGCCGGCACTCGGCACGCAATTTGCTTAAGTTTCCTCTGGCGATGTACCCAGGGAACTGGAGGAGGTGATCCTGCAGGCGTTTCTTCATAATGCCCCCCGTGGTACATTAGGTATTTCGAGAAACGCCACCCTTTCCCCCAAGGGGGGGGGGGGGGGGGCAAGGGGGCTTCGAGCTGGAGCACGAGAGCCCGATTCCCTTGGAAGGTCAGGGCAGTGGCCGGCAATTGGTCTCTGCACACAGGGGGAAGCAGAGGGGCCCCTGCGTTTGAGGCAGGGCTGCCAATGCAAATGACTGCCGAACCGGGACAACTTGTGTTTGCTGATCTTCTCCTCGCTGGCCGCCGGGGTGGAGCGTCGCATCCAGGGAGCCAGTGTGATGTCGAGCTTCGGCCAGAGAGGATGCCCGCGAAAGCCAAATTGCAAACACGCCGAGCAGCTTTATCCGCGTCGAAATATTCCCTCCGCTCCTGAGGTGACGGCTGAGGGTGGGCGGCAGTTCCTCTCATGGCTGCCTCTTCGGCGGCATCGCTGCCGCGCTTGCGGTCGCGTGTGCTTTGACGTTCACCACGGGCATGAACAGAATGAAGCAATTCAAAAACATGGCTGCGTAAAGCCGCCGATGCAAGTCGTGCCGCGACCTCGGCAACGCAGACTGCTTGATAACGGTGCTGCGATCACTACACCCTTGAGACGGGAGGGTCAGGAATTCGTTCGCAGCCCTAAAACCCCAAATTCATTTGGTTGCGATATTTGCGGATCGTCGACCCAAACAGGACCAGACGACTGTACTTGATCCCCGTCGTCATCTTGGCAGGGTAAGGCCCGTAGCGGGAGGAGGGGGCAGCAGAGTGGTTCAGGAGTACATTCTGATTTCCAGGCGGTGTCAGGGGGTCCAGGAGTGATTCCGGCCTCTGAAGAACGAGGAAGTTGAATATGCGGAGGAGGAAAAGAGGAGGAGTAAGAAACAATGAGCCAGCATTCGAGGGAACAGCTTGGAGATGAGAGAACAAGAAGGAGCGATAGTGTGTGAGGAGCGAAGCGAAGCGTTACCGATGAGTCAACGCGGCCACGTCGCGACCGCCTCATTGGCCGACTTGACTTAGCGCCGCATCCCTTTCTCCGCGTACCCCCGCTTCCACCTTCTTAGCCATTACCATGGCGTCTGCCTTCTTCCTGCGGCCCCACGGCTTTGCTTCCCCGCTGCTCAGGAGATGGGGCGACTACGCATGAACGACCCAACCATGCAAATCATGCATTTCATGGGTGGTGCGAAGGAGAGCTGCGCTTTCTTCCGAATTATTTTATGAGTTCCACCTCTCATCTGGATTTTCTTCGGCGGCAGGCGAGCGAGAGGAGAGGGTGCAAGTCTCGTGAACGGTCTTCACCATCGGCAGTGTTGCGCAGTACGTATTTCATTTCGCAGCTCGTGCACGAGACGCACAATATGATGTGCTCATGCGCTATTGGCACGAGTCTGATCGGGGGGCTCCAACAATACACCTTCATCGATGTTGGCCAGGCCGACATTGGGCTGAGTTCCAGTGCGTATGCTTTCTTGGTGAGGCCAGGATGGCGTACACAGCAATGTTTCGGTCCAGACTGGGCTTCGTCAGGATCGGTGAGGGCGAATAGTTAGCGTCCACCTACGTATCCCCAGACGTCGGACTTATTTCAAAACTGGTCCGTAGACCCCTCCTGATCCGATGCCAGAACCGCGTCGGGCCGTGGGCACGAGAGGGCCCTTTATCGCAGGGCTGTCAGGGGAGGAGGAAGAGGAGCAGGGAGATGCAGGAGACGGAGAAGGAGAAGCGTGCGCGTCGTTCCCCGTGACCCTGGCGCGAGGAGGAGGAGGAGGAGGAGGAGGAGGAGGAGGAGGAGGAGGAGCTCCCAGCTTGGCAGTCTGCGGGGACTGCGCCCCGCCGGCAGCGCCGAGCATCCGCGGGCGCTCTGCTGCCGCAGCGACAGCCCTCCGTGGTCCGAGTGGGATCCGAGTCCTCGACAGCGCGTCTGCCGAGGTGCAGGCAGGTGCTTGCCTACAGCTGGATGTTGCATGAGTAATCACCACCATCATCAGCAGCCTCAGCAGCAGCAGCATCAGCATCAGCATCAGCATCAGCATCATCACCATCACCACCATCACCACCATCATCATCATCATCATCCTCATCATCCTCATCCTCATCATCATCATCATCATCATCATCATCATCATCATCATCATCATCATCATCATCATGATCATCATCATCATCATTATCAGCATCATCATCATCATTAACATCATCGTCATCATCAACATCAACACAATCGTCGTCATCATCATCATCATCCTCATCGTCAGCATCATGAGTACCAGCATTATCAGCATCACCATCATCAGCCATAGCGTCAGCATCAGCATCAGCTTCAGTATCAGCATCACCACCGCCATCACCACCACCACCACCACCACCACCACTATCGTGATCATCATCACAATCATCGTAATCATCCGCATCATCGTCATCATCATCGTCATCGGCAGCATCATCAACATCATCAGCCTCAGCATCAGCATCAGCATCACCGTCAACAACATCAACATGCTTCTTATCAGCATCACCGTCATCATCATCATCATCACCACCATCATCACCAGCATCAGCCTCATCCTCCTCCTCCTCATCATCATCACCATCATCATCATCATCATCGTCGTCATCGGCATTGTCGTCGTCATCGTCCTCGTCCTCATCCCCATCCTCTTTATGTTATTTCCTCCTCCTCGGTATCCTCCTCTTCTTCCACCTCCTCCTCCTGCTCCTGTTTCTCCTCTCACTCCTCCCCATCCCCCTCCTCCTTCTCATCCTCGTCGGTGGGTAGGGGTGGCCTGTGCTGCCACGACCATCCCTGCTTTCCGCCCGCCTGTTCTGCGGCTCACCCATCCAAGTCATGAGTGTTTCGCCCCCCGCCTTGGAACGGGCAGCGCCTGAATCGGACACTGCTTCTTGGACTGGTGCATCCTATTCCTTCCTCTCCGCAGACGTCCCCGCCGAGGCGCCTCCTCATTCATTCATTCATCCTCGTCAGTGGGTAGGGATGGCCTGTGCTGCCGCGGCCAGCCCTGCTGCCCGACCGCCTGTTCTGCGGCTCACCCATCCAAGTCATGAGGGTTTCGCCCCCCGCCTTTGAGCGGGCAGCGCCTGACTCGGACTCTGCTTCTTGGGCTGGTGCACCCTTTTCCTTCCTCGCCTCCTCCCCCTCCTCCTCCGCTTTTTCCTCGTCGTCCTCTTCCTTGTCGCTCCTCTCGCGCAAGGCGCTGCCGGCCCTCTTGTGCATATCCGTCCTCTTGGATTTGCATGTTTGGGGGCAGGCCACCGTTCTACTAAATCTAGCCCTGTCCTTTCCCTTTGTTCCTTCTTCTTTTTGCGAGACGAAGAGTGGCCACTACCGTCATCCTCCGCCTCCTCCTCCTCCTCATCCTCGTTCTCCTCATCGTCATCAGCATCATCGTCGTCATCAGCATCCTCATCATCATCTTCATCATCATCCTCATCATCATCAGCATTATCATCAGCATCCGTTCCTGTCGCAGGCTCTGGAAGGCTCACGCCAAGTCGCATACGGCCAGCGCCACAGACGTCTTGACTCGTTCATCCTCGGTCGCCTTGGCACTCGCGATGCATCAGAAAGCGTCAAAACAGATAATGCTCCCTGTGAGCTGACGGCCCTGGGCGAAGGCCGCCTGGGACCTCGCGCCTACCAAAGCCACTGCCCTCTTCACCTCACGGCTAAGCACCCCCGCGCACACTCTGCTCCCCGTGCATTTGAGGCTCCTCGGCAGACTCGGCAGGCGCGTGCCCCCTGGCTCTCACCGCCATGCCCCGCTGCTCATCGTAGGCCGTCCTGCGTCGCCCTCGGTGAGTGGAAAGGCGGCGCCCGCGCTGCGCGAGAAACCCGCGCGGCCCAGTGGGGAGGGGCATCCGCTCGGAGGGACGGATGCGAGGGAGGCGCCCCTGGGAGCCTCCGCTGAAGCACGCGCCAGGATACTCTGGAGAGCAGCTGCTGGAGCATGCTGAGCGCAGCGGCAGGGGCAATGTGGGGGCGGGGGGAGAGGCTCAGGGGGCGCGGGGTAGGCTCAAGGTTGGAGGTGTTCGGCTGTTTTCGTGCCGTTTCCTGGCGGTTCTCCAGCCTCGGGGTGCGTTCTAGCCGCTGCGCCTTGCCGAGCGCGCTCAGGGAGTGCCCAGATCGTCCCGAACGGGTGCTGGACAGCCAAGTTGTAGCCCGACAGCCAGGGGCAACGGTATTGGGGATAGATGGATCGCCGAAGCCAGCTCGATGTCCCGAGGGCATCCGCTGGGAGAGCCAGCGCGGCAGGCTGCTGCAGATCCCGACGGCCAGAGCCACGGCGATGCTGCGCACGCGGGCGGGTTCGCGGGTCACCGGCCCACGGATGCGGAGGAATTGCCAGTGCATCTTCGGGCGCCCCTGCATGCCTGACAGGATCGGCACTGCATATGCGAGTGCGGCCTTTGGCAGCGCTCCTAGAGCAGGTCCTCCGCGTGACAGCGCCGCCGTAACTCAAGAATCGGCTCGTTCTGGAAGGCTCTGTAGCGTTCCGCCTCCGTCTCGTCTCCGCAGGCTCGCGGCGCCGAAGACCAGGGGCGACAAGGCCTCCACATGTCCCACAAGTGAATCGACCCATGCGTGTTTCCAGCTTCTTGGTAGAATGTCGCGACAGCCGTCGCGATCAGCAGGCGAAGATTCACCCAGCTACCCAGGCCAGGACGCCGAGAGTTGGCAGGTCGCCAAGCAGTTCACGGGCGCCATCACGGGTGCGGCGCAGGTCGTGCTCCGCCCGGGCTCACAGCGTTTGTTGCTTCATCGCCCAGCTCTGTTGAGTACTTCGTGCCGCGGCGCCTGCGGCGACAGCCAGGCAGGCGGCAGAGAAACCAGCGCTTGCCGAGGGCTGTACAGCAGCAGCAGCATCATCATCAGCAGCAGCAGAACCGCATAATCAGCAGCAGCATCCTAGTCAGCATAATAATAATAGTAATAATAGTATTATTATTATTACTATTATTATTATTAATAATCATCATCATCATCATCATCAGCAGCAGCAGCATCATCATCATCATCATCATCATCATCATCATCGTCATCATCATCATCATCCTCATCCTCACCTCAGCATCATCATCAGCATCCTCGTCATCAGCAACATCATCACCAGAACCATCGCCATCGCGATTATCAGTATCATCATCATCATCATCACTACCACCATCTTCATCGTCATCGCCGTTGCCATCGTCATCGTCATATTCAGCATCGGCATCATCATCATCATCATCGTCATTGTCATCGTCGTCGTCAGACTCATCACCATCAGCATCATCATCAGCATCGTCGTCGTGGCGGCCCTCACTTCTGCCATCTCCATTCGCAGAAGAATGGTGCGACATGTTTCCATCAATCGAAGTTAATGAAGTCAGGGCAAAGTTGAAAACACAACGCAGAGTTCGAAGGACAACGCCGTGCAAGCGATGTGCCTCGACGGCGTTAACGTGACAGGCGGGGGGCGGTGTGAGTTGTACACATTGGGAGGAGATCCGTCAGTTGTCAAAAACAACAAACCGGGTCATGTTCGGGGGCTCAGAGTGGCAAGGAAGGTATGGAGTGCAGCAAGAGGAATGAGCAGTGAAGCGACAGGTCGGCTAGATCTTATCACATAGATAGTTGTTTTATGGCTGGGCATACGAGATATGGATTGCGTTGTTGCCTGGGGAAGTGCCCTGGGCCACGTTTGCTCTTGGTTCCTTCTAGACGCATGGCAATCCGAAGTGTGATGTCTACTTAATCAAAGCGGTTCCTCTTGCAGTTGAGCGCAGTGCGCAGCGCGGCCTCATCAGGTTCGGCGCACAATCTGTTGTTGGACATACGACATACGGATGTTTCTGTTGTCTGGGGAAGTGCCCTGAACCATGTTGGCTCCTGGCGATGTCGCGACACTTGTCTATAAGTAGTCGGCATGCTCTTCGAGCTTTGATACCTGGTCTGCAAACTGGCTTTCCCGGAGGCCAGCGCGTTTGGCGCGCTCGCCGCTTCTGTAGGGTCGCCTCGCGGCGACGGCAGACCCGTTGTCAATCCAAAGTGTGATATTTCAATTGGCCCCAGCGATTCCTACTGCAGCCCAGCGTACTGCACAGCGTGGTCCCAGCAGGTTCGGCTAATTATTTTGTTTGGGCATTGCGAGCAGCTGGTCGCGTCACGGCAGCTGGTCTGAAAGCACGAGGGGATACAGAGGGTGAAGATACATGGTGATGTGACGACGAGAATGGGGGCCGAGAAGGGGGATGACGAGGACAGCCTACGATTCGTCATCCTTACTCCTCGAAGAGGTCTCAGGAGACCTCACGAGACTCAAAGTGAGCCAACAAAACATACAAACAAATCAGCATTGGAACCTCGATCCTCCCTTGAGCATCCCCGCCTCTCGAATATTTTTTCCCGCGCGCTGCGAGGAAACAGATGCAGTCACGACCTTTGGTTTAGCGTATCGCTCCGCCGTTTCTGGCCCACCACGTTTGGGCGCAACACACTGTCCACGTCCCCTTTCCCAAGCGTAACCGTCCCGAGCTGTTCCTGGGCCTCCGCCCCGCGTAGCGGAGGAGCCACACGTTGCCCGGTTGCAGGGCACAGCGTGTCGCCGAGGCCGCCGCCGCGGCACGCTATCCAAAAAGTTCATAGCCTTACTCGGGGGGCTGAGGGGCACGGTTCCTGGACCCTGGGGCCTTCACCCAGGACTTGCTCTTCTAGTCTTCTTGATATGTTTTTGACGGTCCCAGGGCCCGTGGAGGGCCCCTGGGGGCAAAGAACCTCAGAAGATCCCTTCCCTCAGGATCCAGGCGAGGTTGATTAGTAGGTCGACCCTGCCAAATCAAGGCTGCATTCGGACCGAGGTATAAGATCGAGGTCGGCTCGGGGAGGGTACCCTGATGTTTTTCGTGTCTGTTGGATGCTCTTGCGCATCCGGGGGAGGGCACCATTGGATGTTTTGTGTGTTATGGCCAGCAGATGTTCTTGAAAGATGTTCTTCTGCCCTAGCAGTAGTAGTAGTAGTAGTAGTAGTAGTAGTAGTAGTAGTAGTAGTAGTAGTAGTAGTAGTAGTAGTAGTAGTAGTAGTAGTAGTAGTAGTAGTAGTAGTAGTAGTAGTAGTAGTAGTAGTAGTAGTAGTAGTAGTAGTAGTAGTAGTAGTAGTAGTAGTAGTAGTAGTAGTAGTAGTCGTAGTCGTAGTCGTAGTCGTAGTAGTAGTAGTAGTAGTAGTAGTAGTAGTAGTAGTAGTAGTAGTAGTAGTAGTAGTAGTAGTAGTAGTAGTAGTAGTAGTAGTAGTAGTAGTAGTAGTAGTAGTAGTAGTAGTAGTAGTAGTAGTAGTAGTAGTAGTAGTAGTAGTAGTAGTAGTAGTAGTAGTAGTAGTAGTAGTAGTAGTAGTAGTAGTAGTAGTAGTAGTGAACAAGTAAACCCCAGCGGGGGTGTCCAATACCCCAGCGTCGAGTGGACCCGCAGGGGTAGGGTTCGCAGTTGGTCGCAGACCTGGGCCATGGCAGGCCAGAGCGCCATCCAGTGCAGGACGAGGCTCGTGCGTGCCACCGCCCAGGAGTCGGTCCCCCCCAGATGGGTTCTCAGTGGCGGGTCCGTGTCGTCCTCCGAATCTCCAGTCTCTCCGAAAATCCACTTCGCCCGGCCTCCTCCAGAGGGGCTCCCCTGGGAGGCGAGCCCGCCGACGGGTACGGGTGCTCCTAGCCCGCGGCGGCCGCCGACTGGCAGGGAGCAGCCCGCGCGGCGGCTGCGAAAGCAGGGTCCGCGAGCAGAGCGCCGACGGCGAGGAGGAGGAGGAGGAGGAGGACGGGGACGACGACGACGACGACGACGATGACGACGACGACGACGACGACGACGACGACAGCGACGGCGGTGACGGCGGTGACGACGACGACGACGACAACGACGAGCAAGAGAAGGGGAACCCGGTTCAGGTGGGATTCTCCCCCTGCGTTTTTGTTCCCAACCACATTTTGGTGTTAGGTACTCGTTTTGAAGAGACGGTCCCCGCGTTCCTCCTCCTCCCACTGCCCCCTCCCTCCTCCTCCTCCTCCACCTCCTCCTCCTTCTCCTCCTCTTCCTCTCCTCATCCTCCTCCTCCTCATCATCATCGTCCTCGTCATCAGCATCGTCAGCATCAGCGTCACCACCACCACCATCATCATCACACCATCATCACCACCTCATCATCAACATCAGCAGCAGCATCATCAGCATCATCAGCATCATCATCGGCATCATCAGCATCATCAGCATCATAATCACCATAATCATCATCATTGTCATTATCATCATCATCATCATCATCAGCAGCAGCATCATCATCATCATCAAATTCGTCACCGCCATCGGAATCACCATCGTCATCACCATTACGGCCGTCATCACCATCACCATCATCGTCATCCATCCCCACCCATTCCTGCACGCCCTCACACGGTTCGTGGCCCCATAGGGGGCGCCACCGAAGGCATCAGTGGCAGGAGTCGCATGCGGTTCCCCGCCCACCGCGCGTCCATGCCGGCACACCCCTCACACGGTTCGTGGACCCATAGGGAGCTCCACCGAGGGCCCTGGCAGCAGGGTTCGCATGCGGTTCCCCGCCCACCGCGCATGTACCTTCACACGCTTCGTGGCTTCATAGGGAGCTCCACCGAAAGCCCCAGTGGTAGGGTTCGCATGCGGTTCCCCGCCCACCGCGCGTCCATGTCGGCACACCCTTCACACGGTTCGTGGCCCCATAGGGAGCTCCACCGAGGGCCCCAGCAGCAGGGTTCGCATGCGGTTCCCCGCCCACCGCGCGCCCATGTCGGCACACCCCTCACACGGTTCGTGGCCCCATAGGGAGCTCCGCCGAAGGCCCCAGTGGTAGGGTTCGCATGCGGTTCCCCGCCCACCGCGCGTCCATGTCGGCACACCCTTCACACGGTTCGTGGCCCCATAGGGAGCTCCACCGAGGGCCCCAGCAGCAGGGTTCGCATGCGGTTCCCCGCCCACCGCGCGCCCATGTCGGCACACCCCTCACACGGTTCGTGGCCCCATAGGGAGCTCCGCCGAAGGCTCCAGTGGCAGGGTTCGCATGCGGTTCCCCGCCCACCGCGCGTCCATGTCGGCACACCCCTCACACGGTTCGTGGCCCCATAGGGAGCTCAGCCAAGGGCCCCGGCAGCAGGGTTCACATGCGGTTCCCCGCCCACCCCAGGTCGATTTCGGCACACCTTCACACGCTTCGTGGCCCCTTAAGGGAGCTCCACCGAAAGCCCCAGTGGCAGGGTTCGCATGCGGTTCCCCGCCCACCGCCCGTCCATGTCGGCACACCCTTCACACGGCTCGTGCCCCCATAGGGAGCTCCACCGAGGGCCCCGGCAGCAGGGTTCGCATGCGGTTCCCCGCCTACCGAATCTGCGGGTCCCCGCCCAGTACAGCGTTTTGTGGCCCCAGAGGGAGCTCCACGGAAGACGATACCCACAATTGCGGTATTCACACTGCATATGGTTGGGTTCTTCGCCAGACTAATTCCCCACATCCAAAGTGGGGTTCTTGTTTTCTCTGGACACCCCGCGCAGGAACAGGAACCCACCATCATCATCATCATCAGCATCATCATCATCATCATCATCATCATCATCATCATCACTCATTCCTCACTCACTCACTCACTCATCATCCCTCACAAACTCACTCACTCACTAACTCACTCACTGACTCATCAGCACTCACATATGATGATGAAGAGTGTGCGCGTGAGAGAGTGTGATGATGATTATCATCATCATCATCATCATCATCATCATCATCAACATCATCATCATCATCATCATCACCAGTCAGTCAGTCAGTCAGTCACTCACTCACTCACTCACCCACTCACTCGCATTCGGCCTCGTCTGTGAGTGAATTGCGAGGAAGTCTCAAGCGGGAGCCCCCTCCCTATGGGGCCCGCGGATCACGTTACTAATCCGAGCGGGTCATCCAATTCCTGTACATGGTTCGGACCTCGCTGGCAGAGTCCTGCGGGGTTGCCTCGGCCACGTTGTTCGCCGCCGAGTTCTTCCCACGAGACTTGCCGCCTGCCTTGGCCGAGTCGACCCCAACGAGCTGGAGCTTGTTGGATGCATCATCAAAAGTGACTTTCTTCCTAGGTCCCCCATACAGATTGACGGGGAGCCCGCACCGAGAATGTCGTTCCACTCTGAAACCTGACAGGCCTTACAGGTGCTCCAGGGCCGCGGCGCCGCCATGACTGACAAGAAAGCTCAATTCGCTGCGCTGTGTCCGAGGGGAGACTCGGAGAGGGTGCACCCTAAACAAGCCTTGTGCCAGTGTGGCTCGACGGAGGAGGAGGAGGAGGAGGAGGAGGAGAAGGAGGAGGAGGAGGAGGAGGAGGTTGGGATGGGACGGGGGGAGCGGGGGAAGGCAGAGAGTAGGAGGGGGCGGGAAAGGTTGGGAGGGAGACCCGTCCTGGGAAGCTTTAGCCAGATGTATGATGTTCGTGGCTTGGGCCTCTCCTGGGAGCCTCTTACGCCGTCTTTGGGCTGCCGTGGGCTATCTTGGGGCAAGTTTTCGGGTGTTTTCGAAGTCCTCTTGGGCTGGACTTCCCGGGCCTTCGTGGAGAGTCGGAAGTCCGAAAAAGAAGGCGAGGGCACGAACAAACACATAGAATTTCAATCGGAATAAAAGACGTTCGTCTCTTCGGGCCCTCTTGGGGCTTCTCTTGGAGCCCTCTTGGGGCGTCTTGGAGGTTTCCGAGGCCGTCTGGAGGGTATCTTGGGCCGTCGTGGAGCTTGCCCTGTTTCAGGGCCCTCCTGGAGCAAGGCGCGGTACAAGTGAGCCCGAGGCGTTTGGGAGGTAAGGAATCGAAGGGGAAAGCTTCTCCCAAGAAGTGGTGCAAGGGGTGGTAACGGCCCCCAGGGCCCCCCCCCTGGGACCTCCTTTGGGATCCCTCGGGGGCCCACCCAAACGCCCCCTCCCCGGCGGGGGAGGGGTCACATGGAAGGGGCTTCCCTCCGTCTCGATTACGACGTTGCTAGATTATTGTTTGCTGGGTTGTTGGACGATGTGGTTGGGAATCCACCGGAGTAGCGTTTGTGGCATCGGAGCAGTACTTGAGGCACAAGCGGAAAAGAGTAGAAGACGGGAGCGCATCGATCGGAACAGTGGGTCGCCGGAGTTACTGGGTCAGTTCAGCAAGGTGATGTATAGAATGTGTGTTGCAATGTCAGCCAAACGAAAGACAGAGTGTGTTCCCCTAAGATCGGCAATTGACAGCTACTAGTACCATGCATGGAGACAGTTTTGGGTGGCTGTGTTTAAAGTTGCCCACGCGTCCGCTTACCAGCTTGTCGCGGCGAAGACTGATGCAGCATTGAGGGTCAATATAGCAGGATGCATATAATAATGAGGGGATGCCTGTCACTTACGGAAAAGATCGAAGAGGAAAGACGCAGGGGTTTCCTGGATTGTATTCAGCAGTGGCCTGTCGTCGATGGGTGCACCAAGTCCAACTTTCCGTGATGAAGACTGTCATGGTTGTGACTGCCATCACCACTGGCATATCTGTCAACATCACCATCCCCAGGAGTTTTGGTTCAAGTTTCAACTCATGTTGAGACAATTTCACGTCTAGTGGTTCCGGCTTTGTTGTGGAATCACTTTGCTCGTGCGGGCAAGAAGCCAGTGTCTCTTCATGAGGCGCCTTCATTTCGTCCATTCAGTGCCACTCATTGTGTTCAGACTCACGTCTCTCGTACCAGCCCTCTCGCAGGCGAAAGAAGTGAAGCAGATGATGGGTGATAAATGCAGCAAGATGTGTGGCTCTGATCTCGGACCGGGCTTGGGTTGCGAGACCACGGTCAATATTCCCAAGCTCGGCGAGGTATTCGACGGAGACAAGCGCGACAACAACGGCAAGATTGGAGTCGGTTTCAACCTTCATTTCGAAAGCGACAGCGTGTTTACGTTCTTAGTCCGTTTCAACACGACCACGGCCAAGGGGGCGAAAACAACATTTGAGATTCCTTTCACCAGCGACCTCTCGACAACCAGGAAGCACAACACATGGAGCCAATGCCTTCCATTTCCGTTAGGCGTGCTGAAGCTCGAAGTTTGCGTCCAATTCAAAATCCGGAGCAGCCAGGTTAGCGGAGCCTATGGACGCGTCACTGGGGATTGCAAGGTGCAGATCAAGGCCAGCGCAGTCATACCGTGGATAAACGTCCCCCTCAGCCCAGGCCAGGAGTTCTACGAGGCTATCCTGGCGGAGGACCAGGAGATCGTGGAGTGTAGCCGGACTCCCTCTGAGTATGCCTATTTTGTTATGTATTGGTTTATGTTCGGCTTTGCAGTCTTTTTCTGCCTCGTCGTCGTGGTCGAGGTTGTCGTTGGCGCAGGGCGGTGCGGCTGCTGTACATGCGCGCCTCGATTCTTGGGCGCCGCCACGGCAATGCACAGGCTTTTCTGGATCTACGTGTTCTCCTTACCGTGTAAGGGATTGGCGTGTTGTGGAAGGCGCTGTTCTGACCTGGGTGAGGGAATGGCAAACAAAGGCGCACCCGCCAGGCAAACAGCGGAAACTGAACTCAGAGGTGCCCGTTATTGAGACGACGTGTACAAACAGATTCGCAGTCATGATTCCCACGCCTTTACCGTCATGATTCCCACGTCTTGGAACGAGATTTCTCACGTGTGCCGAATGCGATCGATGAAAGCACATGTCGGTTGAATGCGTTGAAAGATATGCCGAGCAGCCAATGAATACGCATGTGCGTGGGTGTGCGC